TGCCTTAAAAAAGACATGCTACTATACTGTGTACTATACAAGGCAATATAATAGGCACTGTACCTAATATGGTGCTCAAAGCCATGACTGAGTGAGTGTGAGATCTTGCGTAATCAAACCCCAGCATCATCTGATTTTTGAAGCTGAGTGGAGACCATTTTGAATATTTATCTCCTGATTTATACAGTGAAATAGCAACAAAACATCAAATCTCCTGAAGACAGAAACCTTGCACATGGGAAGGGAGACATGGCAACAGTTGTTCACTCCCATCCTGGCTCTCAAACACTTGAAGAAAGGCTATTCTGTTGAGCCTCCATACCACAAGCGATGGAGACCATGCAACATCATCTCCATAACATCGTAGACCAGGGGTCAGCAACCCCCAGCACGCGTGCTGAGCAGGGCACGCAAGACCATTTTGCTTGGTACACCACTGCCAGCCTGCGCTCTAAGCACCTGCTGCCAGCCATGGAGCCCAGGCTGCTCCCAGCAGGCGGCTGGGAGGCTGCAAGCCCTCCATGGGCTGGCTGCAGCCAGGAGGCTGCAAACAGCTGCTCCGGGCACCGGCATGTTGGCACTCTGACACCTTCCAAGGTAGACATTGTGTTTTTTTCAGCACTCCAGCCAAAAAACATTGCCTACCCCTGTTCTAGACCATGAAACATGGCCTAGGACAGGGGTGGGCAATTATTTTGGCTGGAGGGCCATTTAATGAGTTTTGGTGACCTGTCAAGGGCCACATCCATTTCTCTCTCCCTGTCTCTCTTGGTATCTTCTCTTCTTTCTGTCTCTGCCTCTCTCTCCCCCTCCCTTCTTCCCTCCAGAACCCAGACAGAGCTGTAGTTCACCAGGAGTCCCAAGACTCAACTGTGGACCCAGACAGGGACTTCTGCCACAGTGAGTGGACAGCATCATCAGCTGTGGGTGCAGCCAGCAGGTCCTGGAGTCCTGTCACAGAACCTGCCAGCAGTGTCCGCAGCTGATGCCACTGCCCACCTGATGCCACTGCCCACCTGGCATAGCAGAAGCTCCTTTTTGGGTCCACAGCTGACACTGCCAGCAGGTTCTGGATCAGGGCTCTGAGTGGGAGCTTCTCTGTTCAGGGAAGGTGGCATTGTCAGTTGTGGATACCACCAGCAGGTTCTGCCTTAGGGCTCCTGAACTTGCTGGAGGCATCCACAGCTCATGTTGCCACCTGCTGGCTGTGGCAGAAGCCTCTACCCAGGTCCACAGCTGATGCCGCCACATCAAGAGTCGATGCTGCTGGGTGGAAACAGCCCCATCCTCCCGCCTGCCCAGCACCACACAGTGGCTGGAGTCAGGGCCACCAACTGCCTGCGGACCAGATCCAATGAGTTGGTGACTGCCTGGCCATGGGCCAGATTGAATCTGTTAGTGGCCTAGATTCAGCCTATGGGCTGTATTTTGCCCACCCCTGGTGTAGATCATCTGCTAGTACAGCCCACAGGAAGACAAGCGTTTGTCAGATACCTTCACATAGCGTTCACTGTTTCATGAACATCACAGAGAGTTAAATACTGTTTGTTAAATGTATCATTAGATTGATTTTCATTATATATTTTTCAGTGAATTATGAACTCTGCACTTCCCTATAGAGAGGCAGGAGCTGTTGAACCCTTCTGTGGAGCAATTTATAAATTGCTCCGTAACTGGGCCATTAATACGAGAAAAAAGTATCTCTATAATAGAGTTGTCACAGTTGTCTTTAATTGAGTCAAATAATTGCCTTAGTAAATCTCAGTTAAGTGCATACTTGAGACCCTTAATTGTAAATACTGTAGTTCTTGAACACCACACACACTTTTCCACCCAAAGTCAGCCCCTCCCTGCAAACTGGGGTGTGTGTATTAAGCAGGGAAGTTGATTTTCTGACTGGGATAGAAGCACCTGTTTTGATCCCTGCTCCACAGTGCTATTGCTATTCAGGCAGATGAGAGAGTCAATTGGCTCAATGGTCATTGTTGCTTACTCTACAGGTGTTAAATGATTCCCCCCACCCCTCTTGTTTTTAATGGTCTTGAGGTTCCACTAATCAAGCCAAACATTTTTAGGGTAATTTTGCTGTCTGGTTCTTGTCTCTGTCTTCCTATGTAACAGCCTTGGAAACTAGCTGTTTTCAGAATCAGAGATCCACCCATCAAGAGCAGTCTTCAGCAACAGCTAGTGCTTCCACTTTAGTAAAGCAGGAAAGTGAGGGTAAGTCAGTTGAAGATTAGGCTCTGTCCCTGCTGGAAAAATCTTTTTTCTTCATTCTGTCTTTCACAAACACAGTGTGTATTATATTCTGGTATTTTGATTTTAGTTCTATTCTATTTCTTTTACTGGATTTAATTTAATCTGCCATTTTTGTGTTGTACAATATTACTTTCAATGTTTTTTCTGACTCCAACAACCAGTTATCCTTTTATTTCATTTGAGGTTGGACTGGGATGCCTGTAGGCCATAATTCAGCAACCTACAGCTCATGGACCAGATTTGACCCTGACAAAGAGGTCTGATCTGGCAGAGAGGAAGAGGTGGGACAGAGCTGCTCCATGCCACTAATCTCCACCATAGCATTTATTTCAACTGTAAAGCTTGCTGCTCCTCTGCATCTGTGCTTCCTCCTGTGTAGAGGGGTCTGGTCTGCAATGAGGGTGAATGCAGGCAGCTGGCTGTTCTGAGGGATTGAGACTTCCGGCCACAGCCATGACAGAGTCGCAAGCTGTAGCCTGCACCAGCAAAAGGCTACCCACCCTTGCTTTAGGCAATTCAGTTAAAGACACCAATAATTAAAAGCATATCCAACAAAAGGCTATAGGAAGAAACTGGCATTCTGAATATTCATTATAAAATTTCAAGTGCAGTCAAAAGAGAACAGCACTTTACATATCCACACAGGAGCAGGGCATGTGCGTGCACGCATGCATACATGGGCGTGCGTATGCTGCCCCCCCTCCCCACATTCTCCTGCCTAACAAAAAAGTACATTTAAATGATTTACACAGAAGAAGTTTCAGTCCCAGTTAAAGCATGTAGCCATAAATGAGAACACATCCCTTTTAGGAGCATGCTTACTATATATTTGTTGTGCAATGCTCAGTATTTTTACATGTGGTAAGTACACTTTATTACTGTTGTCTACCCACCATTTAGACTCCCCTTTAACTTTTCTCTTTCATGGTCCTTGATTGTTAGCCAACAACATAATATTCTGAGATAAGAAATACATGTTCTGCAAAGCTGAATAAAGACTAGAGTGGAGTAACAATGTGACATGCAAGTGCCTGCAGCTGGAAAGAAATCATGTACTGTGGGTTTATCATCACCTGGCTGAACATGCCCTTTGAGTCTGAGCAATATGACAGTCATCGTTTTGTGGAACCTGTACTTTTTTTTAGGTCAGGGTTTAGAGTCTTTTAAACCTCCTTTTTGTTGTTTTTTTTACAGAATTTTAAACCTTTTTCTAAGGCTTATAACCTTTTCTGAAAAAAATGTGTTTTTAAAGTAAATACATGCATTCAAAAATTCTCAATTAAAAATATTGAAAATTTGAGATGCGTCTCCCCCAGGTAACTGTATGATGATAGGAAAACAAGCAAAATCATATGAGGGGCAAAACACAGTTTTTAAGTCAGATTCTTAAAACTGTTTTCTTATTGTTAGTACATCCTTAAGTCCAAATCCCAGTGAGACTTTAAGAAATATGTCTTTCTTAAAGATTTGTCACCCTGGCCCTTTAAGATGTAAAATCTCTCCGTCTGAATATGAGACTTTCCAGCAGAACCAGGGAAGAGTAGATAGGACATTCTTGGTATCTCTAAAGATACAAAAAATAAAAATAAAAAGTTAAATATCTTATCATACCTTTTGTGTATAGCTTATAGAAACAAAAAGCCCATGTTTGGATTTTTAAAAATCCTTTGCAGAGTTTCAGATTACCTTAAAGTCTTTTCTTTGGAATTCAGAATATATTATTTCAAAACATAAGATCCAAGCAGGTCAGCTGGCATGTGTGTGCTGGGATAGCTACTAGTAATTAGATAAATGCAATAGTATGGTCAGTCTTGCTAACAGAGAAATACAATAGCAGCGTGCTTCAGGCAATCAGTTCAAGGGTCTTACCAACGTACCCTTTTGGGGTTGATAAACATGTGACTTCACCTAACCTTCTTCTTCCTTCAACTTCATGCTTGCATGTGAAGAATTCTATTGCTCATTACTCATCAAGAATGGCCTAAGAATAAGAAAGTGTCATATTAAAAGTTACAATGCATTACACACCAGTTTTTCAAACATTCCTACATTTCATGTAATTATTAAAAGTAGAATTTAACCTCTTTGTGCGTCACTATTCCATCTGTAACAGGCAAAATTATTTATGTAGGCCTCGCAGGTGTGTACCTTGTGAAAAGCTGGCTGAAGTGCTGTCTGTGCAAGGTAGTAGGTTAATTTAAAATCATGTGGATCAAAGCAATTTCCTCAGCCTGATTATATTTTACTAAAGTAAACCATGAAAAACTGGTTTCATGTTTGTGGTTATTTACAGTAACACTGTAGCAATGATGTTTAATCAGCAAGGAGGAGTGATGACTAATAAAGATGGAAAAATAATCAGAAAATGGAAATGGCCTCGGGAGGGAAAGCTTAGTGAGCCAGTTATAATACAGGTAATATTTATACCATTATGTGTTTGATTTTTTTTTCTCTTGTTAACTTCTTTCTCAATGTCATTGGGTCTCTGGGAGATTTCTTAATTTCAAGGACAATAACCCATCACATTTTTCTATCCTCAAAACACTTTGCAAAGAATAACTACCTAAAACCCTCAATCCTCATGTAACAGAGCAAGGAATGCCATCTAGCTTTTATTCATGTGGAACCAGAGACAGAGAAATGATAAATGACTTCCTCAGCACTGCTGAGAGAATGGATCCATGAGCTCAGACTCTCCAGTGGACACCTTCCCTGCTAGGAGCAGTTTTTGGAACAATCTCTTCCAGAGTTGTTACTGCTGTTCATGTATCATCTGTGAATGTTTAGTAGCAAGCAACTTGATTTCAGGCCTGATCTGGTGCCACCAAAGTCAAGTGGAAAGCTCCCAGTGACTTCAGTGGTTGTTGGATCAGTTATACAATCCCTGGCAATGAAGGTACAACATTTTGCTTCCAAAATCCTTAAGTAAGCCTTCAGGCTGTGAGTTTGTAAATATACTCACAACTTAAGAGGTCAAGTCAGGTTTAGTTTTTTGCTATCTGACACAGAGCTCCTGGCACTGTGTTTAATACTTTATACAATGAATACAGACAGGAGCCCTGACAGAATGACAGGTAGCCCACAAACACAGATGGTTTCTGTTACTTGGTTGGCTCATGTTACCTAAGCTGGCAGCCCAGCTGAGAAGAAACAAAAATGGCATTGAGACTCCTGCAGCTTCTGTCACTGGTGTTTTCAAGTATAACTCTTTTTTTCTCCTGTGAGAATTCAACATTGAAGAAATCTCATGCTAGATCTTTGGCTTTCTCTCTTACAAAGCCTGTAAAGAGGAAAGCAAATTATGATGGAAATGTCTTTGGTTCTATTTCTGTCATTTGGATTTTGAACAAAAATTGTCATACGTATTATCATTAAGAAGACAGGGGTTTTTGGGTAAATATGATATCTTTTATTAGACCAACTAAATAGTTGGAGAAATTGTTCTTTCCCAGCTTCTGGGCACAAACACCCTTCTTCAGGTATAAAGACTTTCCCTATGTCTGAAGAAGGGTGTTTGTGCCCAGAAGCTTGCAAAGAACAATTTTTCCAACTATTTAGTTGGTCTAATAAAAGATACCACATTTACCCCGAACACCTTATCTGCCTATGTCCTTACACCAACATAGCTACAATCAACAACTGTAAAGCATGGGAGTTATCATTAAGACTGTATTTAATGTTATTCTAGAATCACAAGAAAAATAAAATACACTTTAATGAATTTCCTGTGAGTGTGCCATACCCATAGTTGTCAATAATCTGTGTAAATGGCCTGAAACTATTTCTGACCAAAATTCATCTGCATCTACAACTCTATTTTGGCAGCATTAGTGTGTGTGCCCATACTGTGGACATAATCAGAATTCAGCACTAATTTTAACCAACAATGAGGACCATTGTATTGATGACCACCATTTTCCATAGTCAATCCCAAAGTATCATTGTTAACATTTCAAGGCTTCAGATTGCAGTATCTTCTTCCTGGACCATATGAATAAAGACTGTGTAGTTCACAACTGCCCTTTTATTTTAATACAGGTTAATGAATACATCACTGTGAGGATTGCAGGGCGCTTTGCTATTAACATGATCTACAAGTGGCAACATGAAATCGTGCGTTTGTCTTTGTCACCTGTACAGGGTGCGTCTCCTCCACAGTTAGAAGACCTGGTATGTTGCAAATCAAGGTCTATTAAAAATATCAGTCAGCTGACAGCTTCTAAGACAGATAAGCTTACACTGAGACAGCAGCCCTTAATATTAGCCCTTTCATCCTTTGCAATCCCTGCTAATAGGTAGGATAAATATAGCTTTGCAAGAAGGGTGTATTTCTTAGCAATCTATCTCTTACTACACTGTTCCAGCACTTTTAGAAATGTGGAAACGGTAGTAAATTTTTGAGTTCAGAAGCCAAAGCTTCTTAAATATTTGCTCTGCAGTTATGTTCAAATCAAATTTTTAAACACCTTCCAGTTAACTTTTTAAACTTATTTTTCCCATATGTGAACAAGCAATATGGGAAATTGCATAACGTGCATGTAATTATGGCTCTTATCCAGAAAAATCAACTAACCAAATGGCAGTTTCAAGAAAAGGAATTACATTGATTTTAGGACCCTACATCTAAAATTGTGATCCAAAAAGAACCAAGGCAACCCCAAAAGCACCTATTTGGCCTGAAAGCTCTGTTGCTGCCTGCAGTTATAGTTTTGCATATGCCCAGAATGCCACAACCTACAGAACAAGGAGCTCCTACCTAAGCCCCATTGTGATTTACAAACCAGGAGCCCAGCTGTTTTATATAAATAGCTTCCTCCCAGGATTATTTCAATTTTTTTTTTATCCAGTGACTCTTGTATGTAAAATGCATAAACAGTCCAGTCCTGGAAGGAATTCAAACCCCCTGACCCCCGCTGAATACCTGAACCAGCAGCCTAGAGTGTCATTCCTCCTTCTGTGCTTTCTTTTAAGCTAAAGAATCTCGCATTCCTTTCTGCACAGAGGCACAGCTTCCAACAGAACGGTGGAGAGTGCCTGCCTTGTTCACCAGCCTTGCTTATAGCCTGATGGTTAGGAGGGAAGCAGAAGATGTGCATTTTAACCCTCTCAGGCTGAGAAAACCTTAGAACCAGGCCTCCCAATTCCTAGACAAGCACTGTATGCACTACTGTTATTTACGTGTGGATTTGTACCACAGTAGTACCTAGAGTCAGAAGATGAGGATCCAATTTTGCTAGTTAGTATGAATGCAGGCAATGAAAAGATGCATTTGTACAGCACTTAGGGCCGTGTGTCAACAAAATGAGGGGCATGTGTGCACAACACTTGAAAGCAGGCAGCCT